GAATATGACCATGTCGTGAGTCTGCAGCTTCCCAGTGAGGCTCCGGTGCAGTCAGTCACCGGTTCAGACGATTTTTTACTATCCTACAGTTTTCGAAGCATGGAACCCAAGCCATCGACCAGGCACCACCATCAAACGCCTACCCCTCGACAAAATGGACGGACTCTATACCTTTCAGTCTCAAAGCCGACCACCCCTCACTATAGGCAAGGTTTGCAAGGACTACAACCCCGTTCACATTTCTGCAATTGCGGCAAAAATGCTGGGGTTATCCGGCATCATTGCACATGGAAATCATGTCGCTGTGACAGTTTTGGCCTCGCTGGAGCAAAGTATGTTACCTACAGTCTACACTGATTTCTGTTGCAAAGAAGATCCGCCTTGGATGGAGATCGCCTTCATACGCCCCATAAAGTGTCTGCGGTGTTGAACGCGAGCGTTTCGATGAGACCACCCAGCGCAGAGGATTCTTTCAACGAGTACATGGCCTATGAAATATTGAAAAAAGACACAGTGTGCATTCGAGGCAGGTTCGGGTACTCCTAATGATGTGCTGATCGTACTCTTCTAAGCATTCCGCTAAGCTTCTGCTGTTGCGCCCACACCAAGGACGGAAGCCTAAAACAACCACAACCACCTCGACGAACCACCCAAAACACGGCTCTCAGATAAAGGCATGGCCAGCAACATGATGTCAACTACATGTATGCATACGGAATGCTTCGGATATTTGGCCCATAGCAACGTTCCGATCCAGAACCCGATTGGAATTGCTGGGTGCTGATCGGCGATAGTCGCTGGCCCACCCAAAAATTTCAGCCACTTCGCGTATTTTTTTCCCTATCAGCCCCATCATGGCCCTCCTAACAGATGCGATATGAGGAGGAAGCTCCTCCGCATGGACAATCGCATCGCATCATTCGAACTTCGATTTGTCTCTCGCATGGAGCGCGCGTGACCCCTTCCTTTGCGCTTTCATACAATGTCCTGAAGCATTGGCAGTATTGCTTGATTTGATTCTGACAATTTCGGACTTTGCCCGGTGCGCCTGGAGTTATTCATTTCAACATCTGACGCAGGAAGGAAATGTCGTTCATCGTCGCATATCGAAGACCAAAAGCGAAGCTAGCCCGAGCTCCGAGCGTGTCGAAGCAACCTGAAGAGCGTCCGACTATAGCATCGAGCAATGCGCACAAGGGGCTACTGGCATATGAAGATCTCCCTCATTGGTATCGAGACAACCACTTCACCAGGACGGGTTACCGCCCGGTTTCGAACTCGTGGCTTACAAGTGCCTACTCTCTGGGACATCTTCATAATGAGACGGTCAACATCTATACACATCTTATTCCGGGGATTCTTTTCGTTCTCGGCCAAGCTTTGACCTATTTTGGAATCAATCATCTCTATCCCGAAGCCTCGCTGATGGATCATATTGTTTTCGGCTCTAACATCGCGACGGCTACAATCACGATGGTCCTTTCTGCTACTTATCATACCCTTATGAACCACTCAAGGGACGTGTCCGCCCTGATGCTCAGAGTGGACTACGTCGGTATCTTAACATTAATACTCGGGTCGTTCTTCTCTGGGATCTATGTCGGTTACCGATGCGAACCTGCAATATGTTGGACGTATTGGACGATGATCATCACCCTCAGCACTATCACATCGGTTCTGGTTTTGCATCCACAACTGCAAGGTTTAGAATACCGAAGTCGTCGTTCCTGGGCATTCATCTTGACGGCACTTTCGGGATTTGCTCCAATCGTTCACGGCCTCCTTCTTTACGGTTGGAATGAAATGCTGATAAGGTCCGGCATGCAATACTACCTGCTCGAAGGTCTCGTTTATGGTATCGGTGCCTTCTTCTTCCTGACTCGAATACCAGAATCGATTTGGCCGGGCTCTTTCGACATATGGTTCTCATCGCACCAAATATTCCATGTTCTCGTTGTCATTGCGAGTCAGGTCCATCTCTACGGTGTCTGGGTCGCTTTTGATTGGAACTATCACAATCTTAGAACTTGTCCTGTGATGGATACGTGACAGGCTGGCAAAGCACGTAAAAGAGTTGTAGATACGTTATGAGCTCTTTGTTCGATAGGGAGCCGAGGTCAATAAGGAAGCCTACCATAGCATTCGATGGGCCGAAGCTGCGAGGTGCATTCTGCCATCAGCAAGGCAGACTCAATAGGCCAGTAGTATACGACATGGTGCTCCTCTTTTTTGTATTCTCATATTGTAAACATAACTACACCATGTCCGTAGAGTTGAAAGGGGGTGAAAAGGGCAGTTGAACGGGACAAAGGGGGTTTGGTACCTACCGAGGCTACCTAGGTACCTTAATCACTGTATACATACGCCAAGGCTAGTGGGCCGGCTTCCAAGGTTCTCTTGCGCCGAATTGCAGGCCGCAAGCTCGGTCGTTGGTTCTGCTGCCAATCGCGACAAGCTGCGCCAGTCCCGGTTGATTATCTTTCACGACTGCATCCCAGCTTCACTTCTGTCCACGACTCACATTGGCTTGGTTCGTGGACAATCATGTTCAAATTGGGTCGCCGTAGCTTGGGCCCGGCCTTGAAGGCTGTCAGGGTAAGTCTCAACACAACGGCGGCTGAACGACTTGGGTTGACGGCGACCAACAGGAGTCACCAGCGCGGATCTCAGTACAACAGCAACGGAACCTTAGCATCCACGAATACCTCTCTGCGAGACTGCTCAAATCAGTATGATACTCGACGTCGTCTCTATGACAGCCCTAACTTTCAGCAGTACGGTATTGGCGTTCCTGATGGAGAGGTAGCGAACACTGCGCAAGAGGCTGAGACAATTGCAAAGAAGATTGGTATATATGCACATTTGAAGAGATTGGTTCCATGCTGACCCTTTTAGGCGGAGATGATATGGTCATCAAAGCCCAAGTCCTTGCAGGTGGTCGAGGCAAAGGTACTTTCGACAATGGCCTGAAAGGAGGTGTCAGAGTCATCTACTCGTATGCTGTTCTACGTCAAAGTCTGGCACCCTCAGCACTAACTCCTTGGACAGTCCTACAGAAGCAAAGATGTTTGCTGAACAGATGATCGGCCACAAACTAGTCACAAAACAGACTGGTGCTCGAGGTCGCATTTGCAATTCGGTATACATTTGCGAACGTAAATTCGCTCGTCGAGAATTCTACCTGGCCATCCTTATGGACCGAGCGACTCAATCGCCAGTTATTGTTGCCTCGTCGCAGGGTGGTATGGATATTGAGACAGTGGCCAAAGAGACGCCTGATGCTATCCTTACAACGCCGATCGATATCAATGAGGGAGTCACCGATGAGATTGCCAGAAATATTGCAACAAACATCGGATTCAGTGAACAATGCATCGAAGATGCGAAAAATGCCATTCAGAGACTATACCAGGTTTTCATGGACAAGGATGCCACCCAAATTGAGATCAACCCCTTGAGTGAGACCAGTGATCATCAAGTATTGGCTATGGATGCCAAGTTAAACTTTGACGATAACGCCGAGTTCCGGCAGAAGGAGGTCTTCAGCTGGAGAGATACTTCGCAAGAAGATGCCGATGAGGTCAAGGCTGCAGAGTATGGCATTCCCCCCGAGCTGAACAAAGTCCCCACTGATCTTTCAATAGGCAAGGTCTCAACTTCATCAAACTCGACGGTGATATCGGTTGTCTTGTCAACGGTGCTGGACTCGCCATGGCGACTATGGATATCATCAAGTTGAACGGCGGCACCCCAGCTAACTTCCTTGATGTGGGTGGGGGTGCTACCCCAGAGGCCATCAAAGAGGCCTTTGACTTGATCACCAGCGATCCCAAGGTCACGGCAGTTTTCGTCAACATTTTCGGGGGTATTGTCAGATGTGACGCCATCGCTCAAGGCTTGATCAATGTTGTACGACAGATGAACCTGCGCTTACCTATTGTGTGTCGATTGCAAGGTACCAACTTCGAGAAGGCGGCCGAATTGGTAAGTATCTCGCTTCAAGAGGAAGATATCGCTCGCTAACTTCGGGAACAGGTCAACAACTCTGGGCTCAAGATTTTCCCTATCACCGATCTGCAAGAAGCTGCAGAAAAGGCAGTTGACTTCTCCAAGATTGTGAAGATGGCTAGAGACATTGATGTTGGCGTCGAATTCAGTCTTGGTATCTGAGCCCCATCGGGTTTGCGGTCGAAATGAGTTGATAGTCATTCAGGCTCGACCGATTAACAGCTTTTGTACTTGTTCCAACAGCAAATTCTCACCAAATACCATATCGCCTTGCAATTCAATTGTGCTGGGTTAGTGTCACCAGCTTCAAACCTCGACCATCTACCCTTCAAGGATTCGTCTTCTGTTTTCCATGTCATGCTGTAGCACGGGGTGAGGTTCTGGAAACGTGCTGGACCAGGAGTGTCGCGGCTGTTTGTTGTGTTGAAAAAGCACCGCTTCGACCTTACCTTCATATTTGTTCGCACTATATATTTATTCCTACCTAGGTACGCCGTGCATCTTGGTCTGACAGTCGTTTCCTCGGCCTTCCCACCGTGTTTGTGTCGTCTTCGTTGCCTCCTTTGTGCTCCTCCATGAGGCCCACTTGCTAGCATTCCGCTCTCGCCAGTTTCTCGGCCTAGAAGTACGAACCCGAATTAAAGCAGCTGCAAAGCCATGCTGCAAGGTCATGCCGGATATGTATAACAATGTGGCGGAGCAGAGCGGTCACGCCTTCAAGAAACTCTGTGAGGTGAGGAGATACCTTACCAGAGGATGTATTCAGCTTTGTATTACAATCGACAATGAGATTGTCTTCTTCGGGGAGTTTATGTACCTCAGCCTAACTATCTGCTAAGTGTGCCAGGTTCACAGGAAACAATGCCATTGTCGTTCCCTCCGTAGTGTAACGTCCCCGTAGCTCAACACTTCAAGAAACAGAATTTTCGGTATGGGCAAAAAAAACTTTGAAACCTCAGGCTGTGTCGACACAACTTGAAGACGCAAAAAAATGGACGAACGGGGATTTGAACCCCGGACCTTTCACAGACTCATTTAGATAAATGCGAAGCGAAAATCATACCCCTAGACCATTCGCTTTTTTCGATGTTAGCATTCACGAACTGTATGGGAGAGAACCGGAAGCGACTTACCCCATGAATCTAACCATGCAATCAGCGTCGATTTCAGAGAGATTTTCTGTAGTTAGCCACATATACCTTCAATCTTTGACAGCCAAAGTCATTCCCGTCGTCTCCGAGATTTGCGGGACAAGATCTGGTCCATGGTGCACAATGGAACGAATCGTGGGGCGGCATTAAACTCAAGCCAAGCTAAATCGAAACCCGATGGTTCGTGTGACACGGAAAGACGGCATCGTCATCGCCTCTTTTCCTCTGGAGAGAGCTCGCTATTGTCGACGACGAGGTGGGAAACATAGGCGTAAGCCCGAATCTGCCCCTCTTTCACTTCATGGACGTTCCCTTGTTTCCGTCCGCACAACTGGGCGGCCGCTTCTTTGCTGTCATCTGTATGGATTCGGGTGGACTCCGAGCGTTTTCCTGGTGTGCATGCGTGCGACACAGCCGACTTTCCGTTTTGTCATTGTGTCGTTGGGTGGGATGAGATATAACCAGGCACAATGTGCCCAGTCCGTCGCTCGGCGACTCCTTTCATAAAGCATGGGCCCATCATGCAGAGCACTCGTCCAGATGTGCAACAGTTCTATAGCGACGAGCACGGGAGCGCTGGTCGATCGGCAGCAACATCTCACAGTCAGGAAGGCTGGCGAACACCTACCATGGAAGATCCAGAGCAACCAGTGAAGCTGTCGCGCAGCCTCGAAAGAATCTTCCAACCCGAATATGCCACACAGCGCAGCAATGGGTCGCAACGGCATTCGGATGATAGAAGGCATGACGAACCTTCAAATGAAGACGAGGACGAGGCGGAGAAGCCGAAGCATCTATCCTGGAAACAAAGGATGCAGCACGTCACCTGGGCGTGGTTCACTCTGACCATGGCCACTGGTGGTATCGCCAATGTGGTGCACGACGGTATGGCTTGCCCGTTCCAATATCCGCAAAGTGCGATACTGACAAGCCTATAGTACCTTACAGGTTTCACGGTCTCTACACCATCGGCCTCATCTTCTTTCTGATGAACATTGTCTTCTACATCATCATCTGGGCCATGATCATCACCCGCTTCGCGCTGTATCCATGGACGTTCAAAGCGAGCTTCACCCATCCTACCGAGTCGCTCTTCGTTCCTGCCTTTGCTGTCTCGTTTGGTACGATTTTGATCAACATCGTCGAGTATGGAACCGGCAACGTTGGAGCATGGCTCAACCACACTGTCCTTGTTCTCTTCTGGCTCGACTGTGGTGTGGCCATCGCCCTCAGCATCACCATCTACCAGATCCTATGGTCCACTCTTACATTCACAATCGCACGCATGACACCTATCTGGATTTTCCCAGCCTACCCTCTCCTTATAATTGGTCCACATGCTGCAAATCTGTCCGCCAAGGTAATCAGCTTGCAGCACGCCATTTGCGTCATCATCGCAGGGTTCACCATTCAAGGCATTGGATTTCTCGTCTCCTTGACTATTTACTCGGCTTTTGTCTATCGGCTCATGACACAAAAACTCCCCCCAGAACCACTTCGTCCTGGCATGTTTGTCTCGGTCGGACCTTCGGCATTTACCGTCAGCGGAACCATTGGCATGGCACGCAACTTGCAAAGAGTGATCGCTTCCAGTCCGACTTCGAGATTCATGGACGTTCCCGGTCTGATGGCCTCGCGCATTCTCCGACTCTGTGCAAATTGGATGTCGCTTTGGTTGTGGGGCCTAGCCTGGTGGTTCTTCTTCATCAGCTTGCTCTCCAACGCTGATTGTCTACGTGCGGATCATCGCATGCCCTTCGCCATGACGTGGTTCAGCTTCATCTTTCCCCAGACTGCTTTGACAACGGCCACGTTTGCCATCGCTGAAGCATTTGACGTTGATGCAATCAGGGTCATTGGCTGTGTCATGACTTGTGTCTTGATACTGGCTTGGGGAATTGTCGTCGGATGCATGATCAGAGCCATCATCAACAAACAAGTATTGTGGCCCGAGAAGGGAGAGGACAAAACGGAAGGTGGCTTCAAAGCTCACAAGAAGAGGTCGGCGACGTCGTCGGGCATTGGGCCTGCTGCTGCTGTTGTCGATGGTGTTCGCGACTCTCGTCAGGAAGCAGCGGCTGATAACGTCTAATGTATCTCGAGCGTTTCTTGTGGATGTGTACATATTTGTGCCTTTCACGTCGATTTGAATATATTTCCAGATATTGGATACTACCAGCCTAGCATTCCTTGTTCTACAGACAATGATCGAGATCTCGTCAGATCTGGCAGCGCACAGAGATTGATATTAGTATTTTACCTGGTGCCTGCTGATGAACTCTTCTATAGTGGCACCAGTACCGGTATTCCAGGAAGCAAAATGGCAAAAAGTTGACGGGCCAGGGAGTTCTCCTCTCCCTAGTAATGGATACCTGCTACTCTACCCAGGATTCCCTAATCTATCTTAGAGGCGAGGCCCCCCGCCAACCAGCACCAGCCTACTTTCGAGGGGGAATCCCGGACACATACCGCTGCACCACCGGGGGGTGGTGAGTCTAACATAGGTGTGACGTGAAGCCTCTACAATCAGCTAATTTAGTTTGAAATCGGGGACTTTAAATAATAAAGTCGGTATTGGGGGCTTGGTGTGGTAGAAGGGAATGAATTCACTGATCATGGCTCCGCCCGCAGGCGACTTCACTATAAAGCGGTATGGATTGGGGATGAAGTACTCCGGACTCCTGGACTGAGGTGACTGAGATAGACCAGGAGTCTAACGTGAAGGCGCCAACTAGTCCGAAACCGGCTTAGTGGCATAACCATTCTTGGCATTCCCTTCCATGGTGGTTTTTTCCTTCCATCGTTTCCGTCCTCGCCGTCTGCTCGCTTTCTCGCTAAGCTACCTTACTTATCTCATTCAGGTATTCAAGTGGAGGAAATCATATGTCCAGGGTATTCGAGGTCCCCATCAGTCATGGGGCAAGTGCTCGTATCAGTATCTCCGAGCCTGAGCTGCGAGCCTTGGGTCTCAGTCTAACCACGTGGACCTCTTCTTTCGTGCTCGCCGGCCAGCTTCACAAACTTGATGTCCACCCGGCGAAGTCAAGTACTCTTCCGGTACTGGAACTTGGAGCTGGCACTGGGCTCGTTGGGCTGACTGCAGCCATGCTTTGGAGAGTGCCGGTAGTGTTGACCGACTTATCACCCATTGTGCCAGGCCTTGCTGGAAACATCAAACTCAACTCCAGTGTAGTGAAAGATCTTGTGCAATGCGGCTCACTGGACTGGACCGCTCCGGACCTTCTCGAATTACAGAGCGGAAAAACCTACACCGCACAAAAGGACAAGGCGTCCGTAATCTTGGCCGCCGATGTTATCTATTGCGAGGAACATCCAGAACTCCTGGCTAAGACGATCTTCCGATGGCTCGCTGATGGACCGGCTTCTCGAGTGGTAATTGCTTGGCCTCTGCGTGTGGCTTACCTGGATCATCTTCGGGAAATGTGGGAGCTATTGGAAACTGGAGGTCTCGAGGCTATCGAAGAAGGCCGAGAACAAGCCAGCACGGAAGATTGGGACGATGAATGTCTCATAGAGTTTAGTGTTTGGAGGTGGAAGTCGAGCAACGGAGCCCGAGCGTCGTCTTAACGATTCATCGCAGCAATGGGCCATGTCAGTTCAAATGTCCTGGAATTACTGGCACTAGTTACCTGAGGAAACCTCTCCACTCAGCCAGCGACACCACCTTCCATTCAGGAGAGACATCCGGCTTGTTGCTTGCACAAACGAGCCAACGACCACCGGAGACTCGTTACTATGAGGCACGCAATGTGGAATGACCTGCCCGAAGCATCGGTGTGATGTGGAGATCGTTTCCTATTTGGTCAATAGCCGATGTCGTGATTGCCAGTGTCGATGGTATCATTATCAGATCTCCAACAACATCAATGCATCGCAACCAGGATGCCTGCCATTGGAACGCGCAATGGATACTCCGTACCGTGGGTTCAAATTGCGGTCGTCATCTGAACGTGGTTATCCACGTGGAGGGGGGTGACGATGGCAGACGCCGAATATCATGGAACTCGTATTCCTGCGCCTCTTTGTCTCTTCCCGCGCCTTTCTTGTGTCTTCCCAATCAAACTAAGCTGGAAAGAGCCTCGTGAAGATGGCTGCCACCCAAGCTTCGAAGGACCTTGACGAGACCGCTGCCGTCCAAGAGAACCCCCCCTCGACAGCCAGCTCACTGACCGCGTCCTCCGATCTCGATGACAACTATCATCTTTACAAGCGCAGCGACGAGCAAGAAATCGACCCCGCCGAATACAAGCGAGTCTTGCGCAAGCTTGATTTGCGACTTGTTCCAATCCTCTTCCTGATATATCTACTGCAATACCTTGATAAGAATGGGATCAACTATGCTTCCGTATATGGCTTGCAGAAGGGCACAAATTTACATGGTCAAGACTACTCTTGGTTGGGCTCGATATTTTATTTCGGTACGTGAATAAACCTGTCGTCTTCACAGGTGCTGATGTACCAGGATACTTGTGGGCTCAATTTCCAGCCAACTATGCCTTGCAGCTCCTGCCGATTGGGAAGGTGGTCGGCATAACAACCATCATCTGGGGAATCATACTGATCACCACTCCTGCGTGTTCGTCATTTGCCGGAATTGCTGTCAACCGATTCTTACTGGGGTCCTTCGAGGCAGTCGTGAACCCGGCTTTTGTTCTGATCATGTCCATCTGGTACACTGCAGCTGAGCAGCCGCTGAGACTGGAGTCCTACTATTGCACCAATGGCATTGCCACAATGTTCGGAGGGTACGTCCGCTCCATTCGCTTTGTTTGGCAAGGAAAACTACTGACTCATACAAGGCTAATCGGGTATGCTGTTGGCCACATCACGACAGGGCTCGCTCGTTGGATGTACGTCTTCATCATCTTCGGGAGCATCAGCATTGCTCTGGGCATCCTTGCCCTGA